TTATGATGTAAAAACTTCCTGCTATTGCCCAGGCTTTTTATAAAGGAAGCCTTTCCTTTTTGCCTTTCTAGATCACAGAGAGACATGCAAACCTCTGAGCAGCAGGGGTTCAGAGCTGGGCTTTGTGGACCTTTGCATTCTTCCTTGGCTGTCACTGGGAGCTGTTCTGTGAAGGCCTGAGTGTCTTTCACGGCAGTTTCCTGGAGAGTGTGAAACAGCTTGCTATCCACCTCGGGCAGGTTGTTTCATCGAAGTAAAACAAAGTACCCTGCCATCAATGGAAAGCCAGAATGTTCTAACTGCTTGTACTCCTGTCACCACCACCACCACCACCACCACCACCACCACCACTACCACCACCATCACCAGCAGCAGCCTGCCCTCTCAGAGGCTCTCTCAGCTGCCTGACATGCAGCACTATCTGGCAAGGAGGCAGATTGCAGGCCCCTAGTCTTGGTTGTAGCCACTGTACCTCCAAGGAGGGTGTGAGCCCCACTCTCTCCCAACCACAATGCATGATATCCTTGCTTTCCCTCCTTGCATGGATATCTACTTGGCTGGAGTCCTCATGTTTGGCCTGGCATTGGTCAGCTGCCTCTCAAGTGAGGTTGGAAGCTCCCAAGTTTCAGTCACTCGTAAGGATTTGGCTGTGGAGTGACCCTCTGAGCCTTGGGGCTGCTGTCTGTTGGACTCTGAGAATTCACTGTTCCCTAGACTCATATAGATGTGGGTTTTGTTCATACCTATATTGACTTGACTCCTGGAGACACTGGTATAGGGAGTTCCAGGCATGTGGGGACTGGTCGAAGAGAAAAATATGGACATGAGGTGGCAGTAGCACACTCAGGCTTTATTTGGGTGATGGTCAGACAGATTTGCATGTGGGGAAGATCCCTCCAGCCTCACTGTCCAGAGGCTATGCCCTGGGGGTCACTACTCAGGCAAGCGGGGCAAGGGGACTCCTGGGGAGATGGGACAGGGAGGGGCTGGGGTGTCTAGATGCTGCTGCTCAGTAGCCTGGCCTGGGTCAGAGGGCAGCAGGGGCTGCTGGTCTTTGTAGCCCTGGGGCTTCTCTTATCCATGCCAGCAGATGTTGGGTATGCAAAGCAGGCTAAAATGCTTATTTGGGTCACATAAAACAATTGGATGAATTAAAATTTGAGTTTGGCACCAGTGGGCTTTTGAGCTACCACAGACAAGGGAGGTTAAACAACAGACATTTATTTCTCACTGTTCTAGTGGCTGGAAGGCCAAGATCAGAGTGCCGACACGGTCAAGCTCTCGGTAAGGGCTCTCTTCCTGGCTTGCAGATGGCTGCCTTCCTGCTGTGTCCTCATGTGGTGGAGGGAGGGAGGGAGGGAAAGAGAGAGTAGGGGAAACATGTCTTGTCTCTTATAAAGGCAATACTTCCATAATGAAGACTGGGTTCTCATAATCTCATCTAACCCAAAGGTCCAAATACCATCACACTGGGGGTTACGGCTTCAACATCTGAGGCTTGGGAGGGACAAAAACATTTAGCCCTTGACACTTCTAGTAGAGAACTTTCTTTTTCCCTTCACGACAGTAAGTGGAAGTATATTTTGAAAAGTGAGGAGCATTATACCAGTGGAAGACAAAATTTTTATTACTAGTTGGGAGGTTAACTTCTAGCTAATCACAAATAGTTTCCAATATTAGGTTTTCTTACAGTGCTGCCAACTGATGACTTTACCCTGTCTTTCTTCCAGCCTCTGTACTGAACAATGTCAAAGCACACCAGCCACCACAATAAAACCCATACCCTCTGTCCCCTCCCCTCTGTCTGGCAGGAGGAGGGGTGGAGTCATGGTGTGTCGAGCAGGCTATAAACATTTGAGCTGCTTTCCTTCAACTTTTGGGAGGGTTTCTTCGGGATGACAGGGGAACAAAGGGTTGCAGTGCAAATTACCATGCAAATTGCCACAGTGTTTGAACTGAAGACACTTTTGCCTGCTGCAGCTCAGTGAACCTGAGCTTCTGTGACTGACTCCCACTGAAGGGGAGACTCACAGTACCTTCCAGAGCTGAGGTGCTGATCCACCTAAACATCCCCACATGCTTGACTCCAGTGAGCAACAGTAAACCACTTGAGAGGCTGCAAAAAAAAAAGGCGACTGGAAGAGTATATGCCTTAAGGTGTTTCCCTGCTGCCCTGTGAGCTTGTTCCCTCTTTAAATGCCAGTCAGTGGACAATGCTGACCAGTTCCGCAGTGTGGTGCCCTATGGCTTGAGACGCAAGCATTGTGAACCACAGATTACCAATGCACAGAAGCTGTGGTTTTCTGTCTTTTTCTCTCCCCTCCTTTCCTCCTTCTGTCTCATTCCTTGGCTCAGTGAGAAGACAGATGGCTCATGTGGGAGGTCTCTACATCTCTGAGGCCAGCAGGCTTGGTACATTAGTGTTGTTCCTCAGCCTTGGACTTGAGCATGACTTGAGGACATTTCTTTGTGGGCAGATGTCCCTGACTCTGATACCTTCTTGCCTCCATTCCTAGCTACGTCTGCAGCCGTGAAGGCTGCACGCCACACCCAGAGGTGGCGGCTTGTTCAGAGTGCTCAACTCATCTTTCATTCATAAGAAATAACTCCCTGAGGGCAAGACCCTAATTTAGGGTCAAGTAGGGGACCATAGAAAGTGCCCTGAGGAATTTCCATGCCTGAATATAGGAAAATTTCTAAAGTCTTGGAGCTGGTCTTTGTCCTGCTCTTTTCCCCAACCTAACTCAATGCCCATTGTGGCATAATAACTCAAATTTGGAGACATCCTTATTTTCGTGTTAAAAAAAAGGCACAACCACCACATGTTTATTAACCTTTATGTGCTGGGCACTGTGCTGAGCATTTGCAAGTTTTACCTCATTTAAACTGGATAAAAATGCATTAAAAGTAGGTGTATTTGTCAGGGTTCTTCAGAGAAACAGAACCTATACACATACACACACACAAGCACAACTGTATACATGTACATACATGCGTGTGTGTGTGCTCACATGTATTTATAAAATTTATTTATTTATTTTTAAGGAATTGGCTCATGTGATTGTGGGGCTAGTGAGTCTAAAATCTGTAGGACAGGCAGGAAGGCTGGAGATCCCGGGGAATCTTGATGGTGTGGCTTGAGTCCAGATGCAGTCTGGAGGTAGAATTCCTTCTTTCTCAGGAGCTGTCCGTCTTTTTCTCTTAAGGTATTTGACTGATTGGATGGTTCCCACCCATATTATAGAGGATAAATTGCTTTACTCAAAGCCTACTGATTCAAATACTGATCTCATTGAAAAAAAGACCTCCACAGTGACATTTAGACTGAAGTTGGACCAAATAGCTGGGTACCAGGGCCCAGGCAAGTTGACACATAAAATCCTTTTTACAGGTAAGGAAAACAAGTCTCAGAGAAGTTAATTCACTGGCAGTGATAGGCTGAATAATGGCACCCCCCCCTAAATATTTATGTCCTAATTCCCAGAATCTGTCAAAGTTACCTTACATGGCCAAAGGGACTTTGCAGATGTGATTAAGTTAAGGATCTCGAGATGGAGTGATTATCCTGGATTGTCCAGGGGGCCCAGTATCACCACAAGCATCTTCATAAGAGGGAAGCAGAAGGGTGGGAGTCAGAGAAGACAGCGAGATGATGGAGGCAGAGATTGGAATGATGTTCTTTGGTGCCAGAAGAAAAGGTTAGAAGCCAGGGACTAGAGGCAGCCACTAGAAGCTGGACAAGGCCAGAAAGTGGATTCCCCCTGGAGCCTTCAGAAGGAGTGAGCCCTGCCAACATCTTGATTTCAGCCAGTGAAGCTGATTTTGGACTTCTTACATCCAGAACTGTAAAGTGATAAATAGGTATTGTGTGAAGCCACTAAGTTTGTGGTCATTTGTTATAGCGGCTAGAGGAGACTAATACATTTACTGAGGCCACTGTAGTTAGTACACGGTAAAGGTGGGATTTGAAACCAGGTCAGGCTGACTCCACAGCCTCAGACATCTGATGCTGTTACCATCACCAGTCCTGTTAATCTCCCCAGAACAATCATCCTGGGGTCCACCCCTCCTCTCCTCTCCCACAGTCCCTGTCCAGACTTGAACTACCCTCCCCCTGAACTTAAAACAACAGGGGAAAATGAGTAATAATGAGACAGGGACTGGGGGTAGGAGACCCAAGGGTCTCCATTTATTCCTGCTATGTGGTACATGGCAGGCACTTTATAAACAATAGTGTGCTTAGTACTCTCCATGGAAGGCAGGTACTATTATTTTCCATATTTCATAGTTGAGGACCAAGAGAGTTAACTCACCTGCCCAAGGTCACACAGTAGTTGAGTGGCAGAGCCTGGGTTTAGCCTGGATCTGTGTGATGCCAATGCTTTTCCCACTGTCCTCACTACACTTGCTCCTTGAGAATCTTCATCACAGTTGGGCAGCAGGAGCAGGAGATAAGACTGTAAAAATGGGAGAGAACCGAAGACCAAGGCTCCCGGGGCTCTTGCTTCCCTTCCCAGAAAACCCCACCTCAGGTACAGGCTTCAGATCCAGGGCTGGGGCCGCTGCAGGTCCTCTACACCCTAAGGCCCGTTGGGCTCCCCTGGCCACAGGGGACCTTCTGTCTGGCTGTCCTTCCCCTCTGCCGTCTCCATCCCTGTTCTTTGGTTGCCCCTCACATCTTCTAGCAGAGCGTCTGGGTACCTGCCCCCGCATCCCTCCCACACTTGTTTTCCTTTTTCCATTCTCACTGCTGCCATTACCCTTTCTCTCTTCCATCTCAGCCACCCGCAGAGGAAGGAAAGGAGCAGAATTGACCAGACTGCTTGGTGGGTAGTGCACAAGCTCTGGAGGAATGGCCAGGCTGGTCCCATCACTCAGTGAGCTGGGCATCCAGTGACTGAAGATTAACCCTGGTAACCAGGGCTGCTGGGACACATGCTGCTGATTGTGAGCCACGCTTATGACTTAACAAAACAGGTTATCAACAAACAACATTGGGCTAAAAATACCACGTTTATTTTTGAAATAACTTGTTTTGGCAGTTATAAATACTCCATGATGCCAGCTTAAAATGTAGTCTAGCAGTTCTCAGACAACTGAATAATATTTCGGATGCATACTTTATTTTCTATGCAGAATCCAACAGGCAGTTAGTTTCCAGCCAGTTCTTCTCTCGCCTGAGGAATGGAGGAGAGATTGGGTATGGATAAAACCAGCCAAGAGTCAACTTAGCGGAGGGTTACAGGCTAGGTTTCCAAACTGAGAGTCTTACCTTTAGAGTAGATGCTACTGGAAGAAATGTTCAGGGCAGTTTTCTTTGCCTGCCAGGTACTCCTTTGCCCTTGGGAAGCAGAGAATGAAGTGAGCTGTTGTAATTCCCTCCCTCTCCTTCCTTGTCTCTCTGTCTCTTTCTTCTTTCTTCATCCATCCATTCTTCAAACAATTATTGCACCTGACATGTTGCTGGGTGCTGAGGATAGTGATAAACTAAACCAGCTGAGTCTACTTGCCCCTCGTCCCCAACGGGGAGGTTAGGAAGTGATGGTAATTAACAAGTGAAGGTGATTAACAAGGAATAATTGGTTACAAAATGTGACCCATGCTCTTATGTAATAACTAAGAGGGAGGGAGAGAGACTGAGGGGGCATCTCTTTAGGGCAGACAGGCTGTTTCTCTGAGGGGGCACATTTTAGCTGCGTCTGGAGGGATGGAAAACCCATCTAAGGGTGGTTGGGGGCATGTGCTAAGCAGAGGAACCAGCTGCAGGTGGGAAGGTCTGAGAACGTGACTGGTTTGAGAAACTAGCTGGATTCATTTTTTATTTGTAAAATTTCTACAAGAGCCCAAGGTGGTCTGCTTGCCTGGCACTCCGAGAGCTTGGCAATGATCCTTCTGCTCTCCTCTTTCCTCCCCTCTCTCTCCTCTCCCTGTCGGGGGGATCTCTCTCCTCTGCTGAGAACACCGCTCTGACTGTCACCTCCCCTCCCCACTGTCACTGTGCCCACTGTATCTTCCACCCCCTTGCCTCAGACACTCACCTGGTATGATGATGAGAAGGCAGTGCCGGCTTCCCCTCACTCCTCTTTGCAGCCAGCCTGGTGGCTTCCCTGTCAGCACCATGCTCGTCGTGGCTGCAGTGATGCGCAGTCACGGGGCCTGCTGCCAACCTCCCCAGTCATCGTCCGCGTTGTCCCTGTACCCCTCCGGCTGTTCTTGCTCCTCTTCCTCCCCTTTCCTGTCACATGTGACCATTCTCTTCTTTCTCCTCCCACTGGCACTGCAAAGGCACCCCTGCTCTGCCTGGCCCCAGGGGAATCCCCAGACCGAGCAGAGCCTGACCACCCACAGCGTGCTATGGCGAAGGGACACAGACTTTGGAGTCAGACCTGGATTAGCTGAAGGGACTTGGGAAGGTCCCTAACCTCTGGTTTGTATGGCTGGTCCATGATTATTATGAGTATCTCAGAAATAATGCATGTCAACATGTCTGCCACTTACTAGGTGCTTATGAAGGGGCAGTTTCTTCTTCTCTCCTCCTCTATGAACAGTGGTGAGTCACATGCAAGAAGTGAGGTGACACCTTGTTGTCTGTGCCTAACTCAGCTTGCAGCACCTCCACTTCTGAGGGCTTGTTTTGGAAACAACTTGAGGAACCCCCCCGAGTGCTATTTAAAATTTTTTGGTTAAGGATGCTTAATATTTTTTAAAATTACACAAGTGGTACATTAAGATAGTCTTGTAAAAACGCAACAGATAAAAGGGAAAATTCTCCCCAACCATTCCCACCCTTTCATTTTCCAATCCCAGTTTCTTCTTTAGTAGTAACGGCTGTTGTCAGGTTAGAGTATAACCTTCAGCGCTTTAAAAAATACATTTACATAGGTGTGCCTGTGGTTTTGTGTTTTTATTCTTTAAATAACTGATACCACAATATAATATGTGTCATAGTGTAACATTATACCACAACCTTGATGTTTCATTTAATATATCCTTTTCTTGACAGTACACAAGAGAACCATATCTTTTGTTTAGAAGTCGATACTTTACTTTTAGTAATTTGTTATGGAAAATTTTAAATACATGCAAAAATAGACAGAATAATATAATGACGTTTTATATACCTGCTACCCAGCCTCAACAATTGAAAACTCATTCAATCTGAAATATTATTTTCTGGAACTTACTTTCTCCTCCTTTATTATATTAAAGCAAATCCCAGGTTTAGCATGCCAACCGTAAGTATTTCATTATGTATCTCTAAAAGATAGATAATGGCTACTAAAAATCATAAGCACAATATCATTGTCACACTTAAAAAATTAACAATTCCCTTAATATCAAGCTTTATCTAGTTTAAAAAATTATTTGTTTGAATCAGGGTCTTATTAAGAGCTACACATTGCGTTTGGTTAATATATCTCCTAAGTCCCTTATACCCTGTAGGTTCCCTCTCTGTTTCTTAATCTCTCTCTCTCTTTGCAATGTATTTGTTGAAAATATCAAACTTCTTACCTGCTATGTAGTATTTCGCAGTAGGGATCTATCATGGTTTACCATTCTCTTATTGATGAGCCTCAAACTTCTATTGTCCCACATATGTTCCAGTGAACATCTTTGTATAAGATCTTTGTGCAAATGTGCCAATATTTCTCCAGGGGAGCTACAAAGAAGCGGCTATGCAAAGCTGAAGGGTGTGCACTTGTATTAAGCAGAACCATATAACATTTTTATAGGTCTAAGATGATTGAATATTGGCAATTTCATATGGTTTGACCTAATATATTTTAACTGAAATTGGCAAAATGCCTTTTAGCACATTGTGTCAATTTACCCTCCTCCTAACAGTTTATAATTTCACCCATTTCCCTATATCCTCTGTTAAAATGGTCAGTGTTTTAAATGTCCTATGAATCTGATGGGTGAAGAACAGCTTTTACTGTGCTTTCATTGACTCTTAAGAGCCATGTGGCATATGCAGTCTAAGGATCTTTTTCCTATGGAAGCCAGATTCCCTGGGTACAAACCCACACAAGATGGGTGGTATTGCTGCTGGGCCATGCCCAGATACAGTGAGTGATCCATTGGGTGGGTGAGATGTAGGCAGAGAGAGGGGGTTGGCTACGTTTTCATGTGGAGTCTCCTGCACTGAACTGTGACCCCGTAAAGGAGGCTTATATCTTGAAATATGAAACCATTCAGTTAAAGCCAGCTGGCTCAAAGCTTGAGGCTACATAGCCCATTAAGGCACTTGCCTCAACTGGTGAAGAGAGGTAATGGGCTGAAGGCTTGAAGTAATATCTGGGCATTGAAAAAGATGGGTTCCTGTTGTACCCCCAGCTCTGCCCATTCAGCTCCCAAAAGGTTTCTGGCACCTGCTTCCCTATTTCAAAGATATAGTGAGGGAGGTGAGGGGGGTTTGCAGGCGTGGGTGAGGGAGGATGCTTGCTGGTGGAAGGAATTCTGGACTAAAAGGAGACCCAGTTTTAGACCATTTGGTCCATTAGAGCACTGTGACTGACTGGGCCATTCTCTTCAGCCTATGTCACAGCTGTCCCTTCTGGAAAATGGCGACATGAGGGCCTGCCATACCTAACTCCATCTCCTCGCAGTGTTATCACAGTGACAAAGTCTGTGAAGGCATCGTGCCCGTGTCTGCAACTCTGTCAGAGCAGCACCCAGTGGGCAAAACCTACAGACTCTGCAAACTAGAGAAACGCCTCCTTCCCTGGTAATTCTTCAGTTATTATTCACATAAGAGGGGTTTCATTGTTATGTCTCATATATCTGTCACAGCTGATGGCCTTTTAATAGTGGCATTGAGTTTGTGTACAGAAAGGTTATTCATTTTAAGATTTCTGGGCCTTAATTGTTATTTGTTTTGCTTGGTTCCAGTGCACTATAAATTAGCGATATCCACGGAGCATATTTGTCTTGGCACCACGGCGTATTGTCTGCAGTGAGCGCTGCTTGGCTGGCACCCGCCTGGATTTCCCCATCTGTTTCTCATGTTTACATTGTTAAAGATACAATAGACACATAGGACATGGCCACATGCAAAGAGGGAACTTTTTCCCACTCTAGTGCATCAAACAAGGTCTGAGCCTGTAATAAGCACAGCTCTAAATTACACTTGAGCTTGTGAGAGGCCGGCGCAGCCTGGTGACGGGGGATTGACTGCTGGGGCCTGGGGTATTCGCTCCCAGGAATGCTTCTAGGCATCAAAGGCTTAGTCTGCAGAAACCCATCTTCACCTTGTCTTTGAAAGGAAAACCACACAAACTGCTTTCCAAATGGTACTCCTGAGTGGGCTCCCAAAAACCACAGATGGGAAGGATGAGGCGATCAGTCCCAGGAGAATTCCAGTGCTGTCTCCTGGGTGCAAATCTATCCTGGAGGCCAGGGCCCGGCGGAACACTGGTGCTTTGTCAGCTCTGTGGAATGGCTGGTCCCCATCCCCAAGCAGTTCTCCCACCCTGTCACCCCCAGTCTGCTAGAGGGGAGCGGGGACATCTTTTTGGATGGAGATCTTAAATTTTCCTCACTGTGTGAGAGGCTACAGGAAGGGAAGAGAGGGGGAGAGTGGTGAGGTAGGCTGGGCTGGGAGGGGCATGTGGCGTATGTTGCGAGCTAAGGCTTTGAGGAGGGCGGGGAAGGCAACAGTGCTGTCTTTGAGCTCCCTAAATGAGTGTGTGAGTGGATGGGGTGGGGAGGGACGGTGAGCTCCAGGCCCTTGTGGGTACCGGGGCCATTGGTGATGGAGGCGGCTGGCAGCCTTCCGGTGAGCTGCGGGCAAGGCTTTGACATCGGCTGTCACACCATTTTCAGCCTGGAGGTCCGTCCTCTGTACTGACTTCAAGTGTGACCCTTGCCTCAGAGCAAACCTGCCTGCTCCTGCTAAACCATATCCCCTTTCAGTGGCTCGAAAGGAAGGAGCTCAGAGGTTGGCTGAGTTAGTTTTTCCCGTGTATCCACGAGGACACTGAGGTCCTGGGTCTTCGGAACTCAGAGAGGAGAAAATGTCTTCACATCCTCAGCTTCTGTTGGAGTGGAAACCCTATCTCCTTTCCCCCTGGCCTTCCATATTTATCTGCGCCTAGTTTGGGGCCCTATTTGGGTAGCTCTAGCTCCCTGCGGAGGAGAATAGGGTGGCAGATTATGTGGACTGATTTAATGTCACAGGCATGCTCAAATATCTGCTCCCTGCCTACAGAAAATGCTTTTATTCCCTTAAATCCAGGCCCTCTTCTCGTGCCAGATGCTCTGTCTCCTAAACAGCCCCCAGCCCCATCCCTATTTGATTCCTCTCTCCAATACGTTCTTACTGAAGCCAAGACGGACTTTCTGGAACATTTGTGGGAGGATGATATATTGAGATCTTCGTTGGTGTTCTGTTCCTGCTCTCTCTTCCCCATCACTGTGACTCCCACCTGTGCCTACCTCTGAAGAAGGTCCCCAGGCTCTGCTCAAGCCCAGGTCTGTGTTTCCTGGGCAGGAAGTGGGAGTTACCAGCAGAGAAGCAAACCCTCTTCTGAGATTTGTTTTCCAAAAACTTGAACTTCTTGTGGGGATTATGCCAGGAAGGCTCTTGGGTTGGGGGAGGAGGAGGAGGAGGAGGAAGGGAGGGCCACCAAGGGTCTAGCCTGCTCCCAGCCTCTATACGTTCTGTCCTGCTCTCTCCTCTCCCGGGAAACACTCACCCAACCCCCGCCCCCAACATTTTCAAAACTCAGCTCAGGTGTGACCCTGGGGTCTCATCCCTGACTCCTTCCTGGAGTCATCGCACCGGGTTTGAAGTTTCTGTGAATATGCTTCCCCCTCCAGGGCCAGTGACATTCATCTTTGATGCATGGCACCTGGTGAGGCACTGGGCACAGGCAGTCGGGCCATGTTTGCTGAGTGGCCGGGTGCTCTCTGAGGAGCGCTTTCTGAGGTGTCCTCTGGGCCGCCGTTGTGCTCCTGCTCATTTGCTCTGTGGCGTCAGGGAAGATCTCTTCATTGCCCTGTCAAGTGATGGGGTGGGGCTGGGTCATCTCCCAAATCCTCCCAGGGCTGACATCCCCAAGGGAGGAGGAGGGCATGTCAGTGGGATCAGCTAGAGATGGCCACACTAACTTCCTTAACTTCACCCTCCTCCCCACGACAGCCATGACCTCTGCTGGGGCATACAGTCAAGGAAGGGCATTCAGGGAATGATAACCCAGGGATCCGGAACCTTCCCTTCTTAATTGGGTTTCCTCCAGCACTTTTTTGATCTCAGTG